GTCCGCTCAAACTCCAGCCTGGTCTCCAGCTCGCGGATCTTGGCTTCTTGCCGGCTCACCAGCGACTTGTCCACCATGGATTGCTCCAGGAACTCCAGCTGGCTCTGGAGGCCTTGCAGCTGTGGGGATGGCGGGGCCACAGCCTCAGGCTTGAGCATGACCCCCCACCACGCTGCTCCCGTCCCAACGGAGAGCTCCTCGTGACACTGCCCACTGTTCCCCAGGACACAGGGTCCCCTCTCATAGCACAGGCAGCAGGTGTCTGGGTGTACTCCCTGTCCCCCGGCTTCACCCAACGTCGGTGCTCCCCACCTTCTCCTGCAGCTCCTGTTTCTCCTTGCTGACCTCCTCCAGCTGCACCTGGAGATCATTCATCTGTGCCAGGTCCCGGGATGCCTGTGGGACACAGCGGGGCCATCAGTGGGGGCCTCACTGTGCCGGCTCCAAGAGGGGTGTTACAGTGGGGTGGAGGTGCCATGGCTGCTGTTCCCCATCACCTGAGCCACAGCTGCCTTGTGCTTCTTCATCAGCTCGTTCATGTCCTCCTGGTCCTCCTCCAGACGACTCTGCACCTCGTTCTTCTCCCGCTGCAGCCGGCTCAGCTGCTCCTCCAGCTGCGGGGAACTGCCTGCATCAACTGCTGCACCCCCGGAGCGGGGCACCCACCCCCCAAAACCACCCCAAACGGTGTAGGGTCACCCTGCCAGCACGTGCCACGCCAGGGGGAGTCACCCCCGTGATGCATTGCACCCCAAAACCACTTACCGCTGCCTTGGCCTTGGCGAGGTCATCGATCTGCAGGTGCAGGTCTTCGATCTCCACCTCCATCGACTTGCGGGCCTTGACGGCGGCCGCGCAGGTGAACTCCGACTCCTCCAGCTGTGGGGACACGGCTCAGCGCCCCGCCAGGGGGACGGGGACACCTCGCGTCCCTCAAGGGCTGTGGTTTTGCAGGGTAGGATCTGGATGCTCACCTGGTTCTTGAGCTGGGCGATTTCCCTCTTGCTGGGTGCGTTGTTCTTCAGGTGGTCCAGCATGATCTGCGCGTCCGCCAGCAGTGCCTTCGTCCTCTTCAGGTCCCGGCGCAGGCGCTTCTCCGTCTCAAAGTCCCGCTGGGTGGCCTGTGGCAGGGGGGGGCCCGGGC